TGTGTAGGTAGTACCTGAACTTATCCTGGTCATATATCCAACAGTTACCTGTCTTTCCACACTTCTCCTCCCATACCAAACACGTCGAGTCGACTACCGCTCCGAATGTATCAACGGATACGGAATGAACGTTAACATAGAGTTCAATAAAATACTTTAAGTATAATAATATTAATAATTTCAAATAGCATTAGATTTTAACAACAAAAATAGCTATAATCTCAGGCATAATAAAATTTAAGTAGAATACTAATTTGGTAATTACCGAAAATTGCAAAAAATGAATTTATAAGTGCCAGGGCAAAACTTTTGTCCTTCCGATCAACAATTCTAAGTAAAATACGAGTAGTTTTGTACATTTGCTTCAAAAAGTTATATATTGTGTTATTACTGTATTACCTAAGAGTTAGCAACGTGTCACCAGTAGTAGCCATACATAATATTATGAATCCCAGACCCATAATAAGTAAATACGTGAAGAGTTTATCGCAATTATTGTCATCACTCTGACAATAGCCAGTTGTGGCCACACCTCCAGTGTCCAGACATGAACACTCTGAGACAGTCTACCAGTTTAATAAACAAAATTAATATCGTATTTAATAGTTAGATATAATAAATTATAGAGTAATACCCCGGTAGCCCTGTTCATTTGTTGACAGCCCGCAAAACAAGGGGAGAAATAAGTGGTCGACGTGTCCGCCGAACATATCGGTGTGAATATAGTTGTACTACAATTGCAGCCCTCATTGCAACCCATAGTCATTGTAAACCTGATTATATTACATACTAAAGATTTAATTAAAATAATTTAAATACTGTATAAATATACTTATTTGTATAACAATTAATACATTGTATTAACCGTAAACGTATTGTAGTTTAAAATCGGTATCATATGTAGTTTATGGCATTTATGTTATTAAAATTGAAAATGGTAATGTATTAGATTATTTTGTATTTAAGTAAAATTCACAATGATTTCCTAGAATTAAAATATATTTAGCTCATTATTAAACTAGCTACAGTATAATATTACACAATGTAAATTAGATTGAGAGTAAGTCACTCGATATGTAGTGAAATATGTTTAGTTTTTAAACTTTAGACTATTATTTTAACATTAAAAGTATATAACAATCACATAGAGTTTTATATTATTTTCACTAATGTGACTAATATAGGGTTTATAATTACAATTTAAAAATTCTACACAAACAATTAATGTAAAATTTAATATTGCGTTAAAAGTTTTAATTGAGTTGTTCACTTTTTATATTATATACATTGCACACAATTTTGAGAATATGATTCACTTTGAATTTGTTATGCAACATATAACATAAAACTAATTGAGTAAGCTAAACTTTATATTGTACTATCGTATACAATAGAAACCTGTGCTAATTTAACGGATATTGGTGTCCAAATGATAAGTATTAACTGTATGTTTATTATCGTTGAATGCATTATTATTGACTGAAAATTATTAGGATTTGAATAAAGTATACAAAATATGAGCCAAAGACACGATACAATTGAGAGGAAATAAATATAGTATACGAATAGTTGTCTTAAATTATAACACTTAACCCAATTTTATAACTATTTTAATATATAAGATAAGCAATACAAATTTAGACAGTATTATATTAAATAGTTTTTAACGTAAAAAGTTTTTTAATTCATTTACTCTTGAGTATATTTTGTTTTGTATATTATTTGCTGAAAATACTTTTTTTAAATGTTTAATAAATTGATTTATGTATTTACAACATTTGTTTATGTTTATATGTATTATCTAGTTTAACATATAGTATTTGTATTATTATCAACTGATTCAACACTATTATCAAGAAAAACACTATTATTAATTTCTTTACCATTATTAATATCTTGTTCCTCATTATCATCGGTGGAGTCGTCGTAAAAGTTTTTAATACTTTTTGCATTATAAATAATGCCCAAATCCATTAATGAGCCAACACACATGAATGCCAGTGCCGTGCCATGCAGGTAATACCTGAACTTGTCCTGGTCATATATCCAACAGTTACCTGTCTTTCCACACTTCTCCTCCCATACCAAACATGTCGAGTCGACTACCGCTCCAAATATCAACGGATACGGAATGAAAGCTAACATAAAGTGAAACAAAACAATTGTTATTACTTTTACAGAAATGCATTCAAATATTAAATATTAATTTTAAGAACTTTACGAATAAATAATTGTTAAATAAAATAAAGAATTTACAAAATGTTACCAAATAAGGCAAAAAACCCATTAATGATTCCCATCGCAAAGTTCTTATCATTTGGATCAACAGCTCTGTTAAAAGTATAATATTATAAATTAGATAATAGTATAATATCATGGTCCATTATAACAATAACATAGTATATGATCAGTGAACTATAC